TCGGGGTTTTGTCGATCCCGGGATTTTCGGGATCTGAAAATACAATTGTCCCGAAATTCAGGTAAAAGTGCAACACATCATCCTATTATAGTATTTTAAATCAGATTGATATAACAAAAAAAAAGTAAAATTTATTGTAATTCATTAACATATTTATTAAGGCGATAAATCAGTATTTTCAATCAACAAAAAACAAACATAAAATTTGACAAACATATATGTATGTATGTACATATCCTCATTAATTTATAACATAGTTTTTGTACTACAAGTACAAATGCATATACGGTCACTCCGAGAAATATTTTGCATAGATTTTTTTTTGCAATATTCAGAATATTTTTCATAGTATTTTTTTTTTGTTAATTTAAAAAATATATACGTATGTGCAATTTTGAAGTTGCTAAACCATCCCGTTGACATTTTATATATTTTTTTGCCACAAAAAAATTCGTTATAAGGAAGAAAATGCCAACATCGTTAGTAAAAAAATCTAAAGATCAAGGGAGTTTTTAGCAACTTTAAAATTGTACTTTATTGTATTAAATTGAATGGGCTATAAAACTGCATAATAGAATTTTTTTTTTAAATTATGATTAAAAAGTTTGATATTTTTATGATAATTTGATGAACTTAAACCAACTTTCTCTAAAGTGTGAAATTTTGATTTACATGATTTTTGTTGTAAAATGAGCTATATATTTTTTTTAATTAACAAAAAAAATACCACGAAAAATATTTTGAATATTGCAAAAAAAATCTACGCAAAATATTTTTGTAAGTGACTGTATTTGGAACAGCAGTAACTGCCTATGTAACTATATAAATTTTTTTAAATCACTGTTTGAGATCAATTTAAGATATTATCAGTATATTTAAGTAAAAATAAAAAAGTTAACACATTTAAGTAAAAATTAAATATATAAGTGCATCACCTATTCCATTTTGAGCGAAGCAAAATTATTCCTTCTTTTGATGGAAATGCGATCTTAAAGAAATTATAGCATTAAGGGTCGCAAAAAATTCTTGTTTTGCCCTTGAGAGGGGATATTTGTGATAAAAGTTTAATTGGCTAACAAAAAAATTGTTTCCAGCAATCCTGGGATTTAAATCGACTAATCCCGGGATATTCGGGACTTAAAAAAGACCGGATCCCGACATCCCGGGATCCCGGGATTGACATCCCTAACGAGTATGTAGTACATACAACACGAAATATGCGAACGATATTTGATCCTGTTATACAAAAATTCAAAAAAGAACATACCTATGTATGTATGTATATGGATGCATGCGAATTTGCATACACGTACATACATACATATATACAGGTATGTGCATATTTCATAGCAACATACATAAATATTACTATATATACTTATGTACATATGTACATATATGTACATATTAAATGAACAGCTTAGCTTTTGTAAAACATTTTAGACTTGTTAAAGTTGGAATTTATTCTATGTATTTTCTAACGAAATATGTAACGGGTGATTTTTTTGAGGTTAGGATTTTCATGCATTAGTATTTGACAGATCACGTGGGATTTCAGACATGGTGTCAAAGAGAAAGATGCTCAGTATGCTTTGAAATTTCATCATGAATAGACTTACTAACGAGCAACGCTTGCAAATCATTGAATTTTATTACCAAAATCAGTGTTCGGTTCGAAATGTGTTTCGCGCTTTACGTCCGATTTATGGTCTACATAATCGACCAAGTGAGCAAACAATTAATGCGATTGTGACCAAGTTTCGCACTCAGTTTACTTTATTGGACATTAAACCAACCACACGAATGCGTACAGTGCGTACAGAAGAGAATATTGCGTCTGTTTCTGAGAGTGTTGCTGAAGACCGTGAAATGTCGATTCGTCGCCGTTCGCAGCAATTGGGTTTGTGTTATTCGACCACATGGAAGATTTTACGCAAAGATCTTGGTGTAAAACCGTATAAAATACAGCTCGTGCAAGAACTGAAGCCGAACGATCTGCCACAACGTCGAATTTTCAGTGAATGGGCCCTAGAAAAGTTGGCAGAAAATCCGCTTTTTTATCGACAAATTTTGTTCAGCGATGAGGCTCATTTCTGGTTGAATGGCTTCGTAAATAAGCAAAATTGCCGCATTTGGAGTGAAGAGCAACCAGAAGCCGTTCAAGAACTGCCCATGCATCCCGAAAAATGCACTGTTTGGTGTGGTTTGTACGCTGGTGGAATCATTGGACCGTATTTTTTCAAAGATGCTGTTGGACGCAACGTTACGGTGAATGGCGATCGCTATCGTTCGATGCTAACAAACTTTTTGTTGCCAAAAATGGAAGAACTGAACTTGGTTGACATGTGGTTTCAACAAGATGGCGCTACATGCCACACAGCTCGCGATTCTATGGCCATTTTGAGGGAAAACTTCGGAGAACAATTCATCTCAAGAAATGGACCGGTAAGTTGGCCACCAAGATCATGCGATTTGACGCCTTTAGACTATTTTTTGTGGGGGCTACGTCAAGTCTAAAGTCTACAGAAATAAGCCAGCAACTATTCCAGCTTTGGAAGACAACATTTCCGAAGAAATTCGGGCTATTCCGGCCGAAATGCTCGAAAAAGTTGCCCAAAATTGGACTTTCCGAATGGACCACCTAAGACGCAGCCGCGGTCAACATTTAAATGAAATTATCTTCAAAAAGTAAATGTCATGGACCAATCTAACGTTTCAAATAAAGAACCGATGAGATTTTGCAAATTTTATGCGTTTTTTTTAAAAAAAAAGTTATCAAGCTCTTAAAAAATCACCCGTTATATACATAAATTCTTTTTGTTCAGACCAAAATGCAATACATACATATGTATGTACTTCCAAAAATGTATCAGCTGTATGAACTGTAAGCTAGTTATATAATCAAAGGCGTTCTTATCGACAGATCTTTTATGGTTGCTCACAACCATTAAAATACAAGCGCAGTTATTTAGAAATATCATCCATTTGGCAGTGATTACACATTCACAATTATCTAAGAAACTGTTTAAGTGTAGTTATTGCGTTTTGTTATGAAACTCTTCAGATATGCATACTATGTATAGCACCTTATATATATTTACGTACATATTATTGGGTGGTTCACAAGGTGTCGTACTTGTCGTATTGTTGTATGTTGTAAAGTTTTTAACGGCTAAATAAATGTTTAGAGGACTTGAAATCACCACCAAATATTTTTTAATTGTGTGAAATTTCATAATAAAACTTTTATGTTAGCTTGCGAATTCCTTAAATAGAGTTTTAGCCGTTTAAAGTTTATGACATACAACAGTACGACAGTATACAACACCTTGTGAACTCCCTATATGTATTAATAGTTGAAACATTTATATTTTGAGACATTGATTTAAATGCTATTAATGAATCTTTATTCGTTAGGACCAACATTTTTATGATACCAGAATTCCGAAAAATCACATTTCTAAAAAACCGTCTTGTACATAATACATAGTCAGCATTTGTGCCCGAAAATTCATAAGTATTTATTTACGTACATACATACATATGTACATACATATGTACATTCGTGTACATGACCGTTTTTCACTAACTTGGTAAAGCTTTTAGGGAAGAACCAATAATTATCATTAAATTTGAGTCAACAAAATGAAGGTAAATTAGATAACGAATCGTTACGTGTCTATAACCATGTGTACATGTGTATGTACATATTTATACTAGGGTGGTCCAAACAAAGTAAAGCCCCATTTTTAGTGCTCTATATCGAAGAAATATACCCTTTTTGAAAGCAAAAAATATTTACAGGTCGCTCAAAGCGTAGAAATTTTCCCATGTATTTTATATGGGACAAAAACAAATTTTAGTATAAATGGTATAGAGTCCTTGAAAATCAATATTTTTCTGTTTCTCCTCAGACTGATATAAAAACTAATACAATTACAAATACACAATTGTTTATTTAACAATTTTTTTAGTAGTAATTATTTTTTATTGGCCCCCCAAAAACTCCAAAAAAGCATTGGGGGAACCTATAACAAATAATTTATGTATATTGAAAAATGGTTAAATAAACAATGAGGTATTATTGTTTTAAGTCTTCTGAAGAGAAACAGAATTTGCCGATTGAAAAATATTGATATTCAAAGATTCATTATTATTTCTACCAAATATTTGTTTTTTTTCTCACCACGGAAAACTTTGAGCCTAAATATTTTTTGTTTACAAAAAACATAGAGGTATATTTTTCCCCTATAGAAGAATTCTAATTGGTAAGAGCGTTAAAATTCTGACTTTACATTTTCGCATGCATTTTTGGACCACCCTAGTCAACACACATACAAACAACCATTTTTACAAAAAAAAAAAAAAAAAAAATGTTTGCGAAAATTGATTGACCAACCATGCTAAGTAAATATATGTACATAATTATATACTAACATACGAACATACATACCTAGTAAGTATGTATGCATGTACATATATTTCCATTCCATGAAAGACGCTGTTGGACTAAATAATTATAACCGAGTCCAACTTTATCACCCATGGAATCTCACAACGCATTAACTTTCAACATGTGTATGTAGTTGTGGGTCACATCTCAAAGTGTGCATTGTTGTTATGCTAATGATTTTGCTAGCAGTTTTATAAAAGAACCCCGTTACCCGTAATACAACGTGCAGTGGAAAGCGAACCGTAAACAATTCATAACTTCAATTAACGAGAAAAGCGCTGTTTACATACATCTATACATCCGAATGTGTGTTTGCATGTGCATACATATACATACATACCATATGTACCAATGTACACAACAACAATTCACTAAGGTTTTAGGTCAAATTATAAAGTTGTGAAGCAGATCTTACGAGTAAGCCGAATTATTCGCGACCCATGAAATGTTAAGGCTGCTTGCCGAACGCTTTTTATTTGCAATTTTGTTTTTAACTTTTTATGAAACACTTCTTAAAAATATAAGTTGTTTTCTTATATTTCCCCAGAAAATCGATCCTTTGATCCGCATTCAAGAAGAAATTAAGGAAGTTGTTCGACGTGAAGAAGAGCATCGCCAGCTTACAACTGGAGGAAGTTCTCCAATATCGGCAAACGAATACGAAACACACCACGAAAATGGCACAGTAAATAACAGTTACAGTCATATTGACAACGACAGCACCAATAGCATCTCAATCAGCCCTGTTCCACATTCATCCTTAAATAACTTGGAAGGTTCTTTGAATATTCCCTCCTTGCCGCATAGCGAAAATAGCGTTAACAGTAAAGAAAGTATTGACGATGATTCAGGCATATCCGCCTCACCTAGCCCCGTAAATGGTGTCTCAGCCAACCAAAGTCTCAGCGAGTCCACAAAGCCGCCAAAAGAGCAGCGTTATATCGGTCCAAATTGTTATACAATCACCCCGGAACCTCCACGTCAGATGATAATCGCGAACTCGGTTCCAGCTACACCTCCGGTCGTCAATAGGCAGCGCATGTTTGCATTCAATCCCGCCAATAAGGGTGTAATGCAACGTTTTATAGCCACACGCGGAAGATTACAGATGAACAACAATAATAACAATGGATCCAATAAGATTTTCTTGAATACAAAAAATGCCGCTACACTACTTAATACAAGTACTATGTCTCCTCTAACTATCAACACGGCAACAGGGGCTTTGGCAAGTCCCTTGCATTCAACTATGGCGCTTGATATACTCACACCATCCATAACCATACCGACTGTGACAATGACGCCTCCTCTCATAGAGCGGGATGCAGAAGGAAGAGTTATACGACGTGGTTATGTTCCAGCAGAAGTTAAGATTCAGAAAGAAATCAAAGACTTACAGGCTCGTGAGCATGAACTGAAAAAGCGAAACAGATTCCGACAATCCACATCCGATTTGCTTGAGGCTATTGGAAACGAGTAAGTGTAGCAGTGTAGTTAATTAAAATACGAAAAGAAATGATGTTTTGTAAACTTTCCATTTACAGCCACGAGGAGACAGATGACGAGGACTCTGAAGTTGAGCACTGCGTCGGTCCCAGACAACTTCGCTCGGCAAAGTCCATTAGTGAAATCAGCTACTCCACTCAGTTGAATAACAGTATCTCTCCAAGGTACAACGTATTACAATTTCCCAGTCAATCTGGCACAATTTTTTAAAGCTCAAATAGTCAACGACGTAGCGTAGACGTAGGTTGACGCAGACACGATCTACCTTATGGGATTCGCGTGTTAAAGAAAACTCACCACCGCATGGCGGTGACGTTGCCGTTGGTTCTCTCTCTCTCTCTATCAACAGTAAATTTGATATGCTGCTACGTACGTCAACCTACGTTTACGCTACGTCGTTGACTAACTGCGCTTTTAGTTTCGATCGGAAAGTTATATTGGTTAAAACAACGAAATGTCCTATCTCTCAACTTGACAGGAAATATCTTGTAATGAATTAAAAAACCACGCGAAATTGATTAGTCGCAGCGTTTTACTTCACGCTGCAATTATGTAGAGAACTTCTCCCACGGGAAAGGAAAGTTTTTCCATCTTAATATTAGTGATATTAGCAGCGATCTGTTAACTGCGAATAGCTTTTAATTAATTAAAAATATTTTTTTTTCGGGTCAACCAAAGCCTAGGTAATAAGTATTTCCTGTTGTCAAGTTAATTAAACTTTCAGCGCTCGCACCAGATGAAAAAAAGGTATCCTTGCCTGTTAAGGTATAAATAAAAAGGGAAAGTGTTTGGTATTTTTGGTTTTGATTTTCATTAAAATTATAAGGCCCGTTTTCTGAATTAGGTTTTAAAACTTATCTGCCCCTTACCAGCGTTAAAAATTTACATGGAACCCTGTTTTGAATAATTTGCACAAATTTCCCCAATTCACACCAAGATCCATTGCTCTCCTGCAGCATATATTTCATTAGTGATCAAATCTGAAACATTGTACTCATCGTCAATGAAAAATTCACTGTTATAATTATCTATATCTATTAAATCCATTAGTTGAAGCTCTTGTACCCCAGTATAATCAAAAAAAAAAAAATCTTTTTCGTTCTGAAAACACATCCAAAAAACAATAGGGATATTCATTTAAAATCACAAACTACCGGTAAACGTGATAAAATGATACATTTGTATGGACAGGACAGCCTTACATGAGAGAGGGGTTAACAGATAGGACATTTCGATATTTTGATGAAATCAAAGCCAGATTGACTTGTCTATAAATTAAATTAAAGCTTAAAGTCAGGGACCATAATGGTTATTATCTTTATAATGAAAATCATATTTGAGCCGTTGAAATTGGATTTCTATTTTTCCCATCAATTATTTTATGATTTTTATTTTTTTTCGATGAAGAAGAATCGTTATTTTTAACCGACTTCCAAAAAAGGAGGAGGTTATCAGTTCGTCGGAATATTTTTTTTTATTTTGTATGTATGTATATTACCGCATAACTTTGGACTACGTCAACCGATTTCGATAATTCTTTTTGCATCGGAAAGGTAGTGTCTCAGAGGTGGTCCCATACTAATCTGGTTCAGATCCGATCAGTCGATCATGAGATATATATATATATATATATATATATTTTTTATATGGGAGTTGAAGTCGGTTTTTTTTTGCTAAAAATTACTTGTTGAATGAATTTTTGCTCGTTATTTTTGATTTTTATTTTTTCGATAATATTATAACCGTTAATTTCAGACTTAATTTTTTAGCTCATAAAAGATTTAAGTGGTTCAGAAAAACGCATGGATAATGGTTAAAAATGATCGAAAAAATAAAAATCCAAATTTAACTATTATTCTTAAAATAAATATTTTGTACTGATCTACCAACTAAAATCTTGATATTTAATGGCTATTTTCCCTCTCTGCATAAAGTTATACATTGATTTTTTTTTTTTAGAGCAACTCCTAGTCCAGATATCGATGTTAAAAAGATTGGCAGCGGCACAATGCGTCCGGCTATGTCATTGGCACAGCTGTGTGATTTGCCACCAGAGGAGGCGCCGTCTTCGCATCGTCTCATAGTGGAATGGGAAAATCGCATACAGATGAATGCTGCGCGCAATTCCACTGCACTACCCAACGAAGAATAGATTAGAATAAAATTTAACAATGTCATTACACCAAATTTATCTGTAATTGCGAGTAAAAAGAAAAGGCCTGTATCATTTTATATATGTATTTAGTATTATTTCAAAAGAACCATTCGATTAAGCTTATTAATTTACCAATACCAATTGTAGTAACTTATTGGTATTTCTTTCAATATAGTACTTATTTACGAAAAAGTATTGTAAGTATCTAAGCAAGTGTGTATGTATGAGCATTTATATTTATCTACTACAAAGAGAGTATTTTATTATTAAACCTAGAACCCAACTTTGAGTACAGATGAATACTTACATATGTTCCCACATCAAAGCAAAGAGCAACGTAAAATCAAGACATTGAGCTGGAACCTCCTTTAGAATATGTACCGATATGCATAAATCTGGTTCGCAATGGAACGAAGTAGATTGATTATATTTATTTATTGCATTTAAATTCGTAAGTGCTCTTACAGTGTAAATATCAGAATCTAATTGTTAAATTATGAAAAATTATGTATTTTAATAAATCAATGAATATTGAATTATCCTTTAATTTAGAGAATAATATCCTCTTGACTCCGACTCTTCCACAATCGTAATAATTGCTGCAAATGCCTCTTCGGCAGTTGGTTTTATTTCTGCGGCTTGTAAAATAAATAAATCCTTACTATCGGGCGGACCTCGCAGTTCAAATGAAAATGTGATGGGGATCTTCAACACGCCATGGGCCCAATCTTTTGAGCCGCCACTGGATGGATATATGGTTTCATATATACTGCCACTTTTGTATATACGACCGGATACTTGTTTAATCTTTTCACTGGCTTTTTTCCCAATCGCTGTTAGATCATCATAGTTTTCAACGTGATCTGCTGTATGCCCGTACGGAAACATAATCATTTGTGAATAGGAGTGTAAAGCGATGTATGTTTTTATATTTTCGCTAAGTAAGTTTTCCTGAACAAATTTGATAAGTCTCTTAGTTTCCGTTTCACTGGCAGCAGCAGGACCTGAATAGTCATATCGGCACGGGTCGCCGCTGGTGCCTGTAGTGTTCCAGTGAAATGGATAATTTCTGTTTAAATCCACTCCGCGACAAATTCCGAAAATTTCACGATTCTTACGCCACATACGATCACCTTCGAAGGTATATTTGTATCCATCTGGATTAACTACGGGGAAGATAATCCAATTATATGCGTTTGCGTACTTCTGGATCTTTGTATCGTTCGACAAGAGAAGTTCATTGATGATATAATTTGCTGTTGCCGGTGCTATCCACTCACGAGCATGTATGCCACTTTCAACAAATATTGTCGCTGTTCCATTGTTTTTATTTTTTTTAAGACTTAATCCTTTGATCGGCAAACCTTGGGCACTTTCTCCCATGTTTATAATAGTTAGATCTTTGGGATTTTCCTGAGCTAATAACTCCATCCACGAATAAATAGTTTCGAGATGAAAGTAGTGCAGCCAGTCCATATTTCTCGGATTGATATCCTTCGGGAGCACTTCTTTAAGGTTGCGATCAACAATTTCTTGAAAATTGTAGCTCTGTTTCGTATACATACATGCATAATAATAAAAGAAATACATATATGAGTATACTAGCTAAAATTTGTTATATGAATCTGTACATCGATGTTTAATATTATCTTTTTCCTTACCAGCACATGATGATTAACTTTATAAGTTTGCAGCAAATCAGCAAAGTCGGCTATTTTATGGGCGGCCACCATGATGGTTAATTTTTGTTGCGGATGCCTTGCATGGCCATAAAATGTGCAGCTGTCACTTTTTTCCTCTAATTCTTGGAATAGGGCAACGTGCTGTTCCGTAGACAACTCCACGTGATAAACTCTATAGTGATCATATCGAGCAATATTGGGATAGGATTTAATAAAGTCCTCGCCTTCCTCATAGCTCAAAACCGGCTTGATTGCATTTATCTCAAAGAGTGCCACAAAAGCAATAAACCATAATATATTAGAATTAGTTGACCGCATTTTCGAAAACATGACTGCCGGCTGAGCCACGCTTTATGAAACTGATCTGTTTGCAGTAGAGCACTCGGCAAGGAGCGTTCGTTTAGTTGACCATAATACAAGCATTATCATACATACATACATATGTACGTAGATATTTTTTTGTCAAGTACTGAGCTAACGGACCCCTACCTTTGGCATCGCAGTGAATTTTTATTGAACTGATAACTATTTTCTGTCACAGTTGGGGATACTTAATCCACACAATATATGTAACAGAAGGCGCAAAATTCTTTGCAGCCTCTAAGGAGAACTGTTATCCCCGGAAACAGTGCGGAAGGTCATGGAAATGCGACAAAACGGAAAATGCATAAATGTTTATCAACACTGGCGATAGCCACCTGACGGATATCATATTTTTTACTTAACAGAAGAAATTGTAAAGCTACAATTTTCATCACTCAAAATCAATTTTTTAGTAAAAAAGTTATTCAAAACCCAAATTGGTTGATTAATTTTGCTCCACCTATATAAAGTAAAGTTGCATTTGATCTAGGGCGTTTTTGGACCAAATTCTGAGGGCGTTCTTTAACCAAATTTTCAAGTGGGGTTTCCTTGGAAAGTTTCCTGAGATAGAGTCTTTTCGAACCGGCTGCCGAGATAAGTCGATCTTTAACTCAGCCGTCGAAATAGGCAAACATTTGGTATGTAGGGTAAAAAAATCACTGATAAGTCAATGCCTTACATACATATGTATGCACATACCTACAGTATCGGTCATATCTATAGCACGCCATTTCAAAGTGATATTTATTTTTGAGAATTTTCAATTAAAATACAGTTCTTTCTCTAACAAACCTCATATAAATCCAAGTTTAACAATTTGTAGAAAACTTCAAAAAAATGGCAACAAATTTTCACCTAAGTTTCAAACTTTTTTCTCGGAAGTGTTAGATTTTTTTTGAGTACACAGTTTTTGAGCCCCTGCAATTTTAGTCTGATAATGTGCAAATTTCAAAGGGCACAAATTACCGTTAATTTTTTAGAATTTTTTTATCGCATTGGCTTCCATATAATCAATAAACTCTATTTATTTGTATATGGAAGAAACCCGCAACACCTTTGGCTAAAAAAATTCTAAAAAATCAACGGTAACCTTTAGTTACTTGAAACTTGCACATTATCAGACTAAAATTGATTGGGCTATAAAACAGTGTATTAGAAAAATTCAAACACTTCCGAGAAAAAAGTTTGAAATTTAGGTGAAAATTTGTTGCACTTTTTTGAAGTTTTCTACAAATTGTTAAACTTGGGTTTATATGGTGTTCGTTAGAGAAAGAACTGTATTTCAAATGAAAATTCTCAAAAATAAATATCACTTTGAAATGGCGTGCTATAGATATGGCCGATACTGTACATGTACGTACAAAACAAATGATATTCATTTTAATGATGACATTTACATACTACAATAATTAAAAAAAAAAAAACGAATTTTGTTTGTTTCTCACGTACTTACACACATACATATCGAGCCCTAACCGCCAAAATAACGTAAGCGACATTTTTTTCAAAATTTTCTTTTTGATGTAGAAATGCATCTAGATGCTCTAGGAATATTTCAGCATCAAAAAGAAAATTTTGAAAAAAATCTCGCTTACGTTATTTTGGCGGTTAGGGCTCGATATGTATGTTACATTAACAACGTTTTCAATAAAATTTGAAACCAACTAAATAATGACTTTTGAATTAGTGCGATGCAGCAATAGGCATTATTCAAGATCATTAATGATTCTTCTTCATAAGTGTTCTTTTCGAAGTTGTACAATTTTGGACGAAATAAAGAACCATGACTGTGCATATGTATGTATGAGTTTGGCAGCAATAGTTTGTTCGAATGTAAGCACTCGTGTTTTCGTATTCAGCAGCGAAGTCAGAGGACTTTCGAAAATGTACTGTTCGCTGTAAAATTTAGTCTCCCAAATGCACATGCAAAAAACCCTCTCATAATCGAATATTGCGCTCACCGGTTATTCAAATGGGGGTTGAAATGAAATTGTCATAGTTACTTCGAAATTTCTACATTACAGAAAAATCCTGGCGCCTTCCAAAGGATATTATGAAAGTTGTTTATGTTTGTCATCTGACAGGTAATGAGTGAGCAGAAAAGCTACCCAGTCTAAAAAGCTCAGAGCTAATTGAGCAAATCCTTGCAGTGGTGGAAATTTCATTCGTGCAGAAGGGTCTGCCTTTAGTAGAGTATTGTACACATCTGTGCATGAAAATTCAGCAATATCCAGATAACGTGTCCTTTGCTTTGCACAAATTATGCATAAAAACCAAAGAAGATTGTGATTGTAGTAATTAAAATGAATGAAATCGTGAAAAGTGAAACTTTACGAATGAAAAAATCTAAATTGAAAATAAATTAATTTATAGAAGAAAGGAGTAAAATGGGGTTGTGTGTGAGCAATCGAGTGCCGATATGGTGTTCACCACAGGAAAAATTCCGTCGGTCTGCCCTTGGTGTACACGCTGCAGAACTGTTATTAACGTGAACGGGTGACAGGCTTTGGCTCTCGTCAAAATTTTAACATTTCCATAAAGTTTGGCTTTGTTCGTCAAAAAACAAATATATTTTATAATTTTTGATTACGTGAAAACATTGATTATCTTGCCAAAATGCCGAATAAATATTAGAAAGCTAAGTTCCTGCAAAGACTAAAAAGTGATTCCTTTAAGATACGAAATCCTACAGACAGCCTTCACTCGTGTCGACAACTCCTGATTTGAGTGTACTACAATTTATCCGTACAAATAGTTATTGACAATTTTTACTTCCTTAAGCACTGAAATTGAAGAAACAAAGAAAATCTACTGCCATTACACTCCGTTCGTTATAGTGTTGTAGGAAAAAAGGTTAATACATACACATATGTATTTGTAGATATATGTGAGTATATGTAGATGGGAGCCCAAAGTCAGTAGAATCATATTAACTACCATTAAAATTAAATAAATTCATTCGCGGATGTGACTGTGGTAAAATCATTAAGAAAAACAAAAACGGCAATAAACAGCTATCTAGTACTAATAAACTTTAACAAAAGTTCTTCTAGTTCCTTTTGTCCAGACAGTTCAAAACAATTACTTAGATGGTTCCTTATAGTTTTGGCAAAATAATTTGGCATCGGAGAGCTAAAGACACTCAATGCATTAGTTAATTTCTTACCACCCAACCCGCACTGTCATCCTACTGTTGATAAGTGCCCACATACATACATACGGACACATACATACATACATATACACACATGCATATGTGCTCTTCATAATGGAACGCATGTGGCGCAAGGTTAATCATAGTTTCGGTGGTCGCTCCTCCAAAACAACATCCGGCACACAATCGGTGGACACAACGGGCTCAGGCGGCGGGTTTTGTGATGGCAACATTGTTACAATGGCTGTTGCGGGAACGACCGCAACTGGTGGAGGCAGTGCAGGCAACTTGCCATCCAGCACGGCCACTGGGCGACGTTTAGCCGCCAGTGGCCAGATTCCAGTCCCAGTCCAGACAAGCAATAACAGCGCCCAACAAACTGCCATAGAGGGCAATCATGTGGTTTCGCCATGTCCAAAATCGCTAAGCCAACACGTGCTTCATAACAGCCAAGCATCCTCCGACCGACGTCGGAGACGTCGACGCAAGAGTCGCCCACGACGGAGCGGTGTTAGCTGTGTAGGCGGAGGCGGTGCGGACAATATGTCGTAAGCTAGAACTTAATCTAACTAATCAAGGCAAAGAATAACTTTGTTTTCATTTAAATTTATCGAATTTATAGATCATCTGGTGGATTTTACACAATAAAAGAGTCTTCTGATGGCACAATGGGCAATCACCGACATCATCGCCAACCAAGACTTTCATCGAGTCGCATTATGGCTACATCAGCGCCCAGTGGCACCGTAATGATGTATCCCAACACAAATCGAACGATGGATACGATGTCATCCGAAATAGCAACAAGACAGACAACAGCAGCAGCCGCAGCCGCAGCAGCAACGTCAGCTACTCCAGATATTTCACTGCGACAGCGAGCCGTCGCAAAGCTACGCATGTTCAATTTTCATCTAAACTGGGATTTGCACATGACTCATTGTAAGCCATGCGGGTAAGTTATTTGAAATATCTAGCAAACTTGCACCCAGGCATACATACTTGTGTACATACATACATATGTATGTATATACTTAAGTATGAACGCTTGTGTATAAATAAGTACACATTTCTTCGCCAGATCGTTAAAGTTAGAAATGTTTAAGTAAAATGCGACTTTCTCTGTTGAATGGTTTGTTTCTAAGTCAACTGTAAAATGTATATAAATGCTCGCACTTTCTCTATGTGTGGAAACCCATGAATGCATGCTTTGGTTTCAAAAGCCATACGTGCATATGTACATGTTTGTTTCCTTAAAGGATCCTTCTCTTCTAGTGTTATATTTTCACTTTCTAAGACACTCAAATCTAGTTCACAAAACCACCTTTGTCTACCTTCTTACATACTATATATTTACTCGTACATATATGTACATACATACATGCAGGTGCATGCACAAATGTAGTGCACATGTTTACAAAGGTATACCAGATAAATGCCTTAGATTTCATAAAGCATGAAGAGAGTAAGCCCTCTTCCAGTTCAAGTCCACTTGTAATGGCCCCAATTGTTTCCTTTGTTTGCCTATTGTACATACATAGTACTTGGGTAAATGTAACCCCTAAAAATATGTACAACTTTTCTCAATGCATATTTATTACATAGTTGTAAGAACCTACAAAATATGTATATTTAAAAATATAAGATATTTCAGTAAATGACAGGAGAACATTCTTACTCGTATAGGCGCATTAGTAGAAAATTCGGTAAAAATATTTGGTTTTGCTTAAAATAATTGAAATAGATCATTGAGTATAGAATTCCCGGCCAACGCATTAGCTAGCCGGAATAAATTGGCTACATATCGCCATAGAGTAGCAGCTAAGGGGTGCATACTACTGCTAATAGTGGCGCAGTGCCGTGCAACATACAAATAAATTTTGCCTTGATGGCAGTCGCCTCCAACAGGCAGAGTTTTTTTCGACGATAAAAAAAATTATCATTAGAAATTTTTCCGGTCGCGACGCCATAAAATTCTAGCTACCTTCATTTAATGACGAATTTCGAGTATAATCCCTGTCAAACAAGCAAAAAAAAAAAATGTATGAGTGCGAAAAAAAATATTCACTTTCATTTTTCTATGTGAACTTTTTTCTAAAAGGCAATAAGATATCACATTATATTCTTATTTTATTATTTAAAACAGCCCGCGCATTGGTGGCGGAAGCAGTGGTAATATAATAATGCGTCGTTTGTGCAGAAACAGACGTCACGAGGATAATGAGCTTTATCGCTCCAACAGCTTCAAATTCGAAAGGTTTGAACGAAAGGAATGCATCGACGAATTGACTGACACGATGAAGAAGCAGGTATGAAAGTGATATTAAGCAAAATATAAACGCACGAAGTTTCATATCGATGGCTGAGTGGAAGATCGACCTATCTCGGCAACCAGTTCGAAAACATTCTACCTCAAAAAACTTTTCAAGAACGCCCTATTTCAGAATTCGTTTAAAAACGCTCTATCTCAGCTGCCGATTCAAAAACGCCCTATATCAGCATATTTTCAATACATTTTGATAGGCGTTTGTTAACCGAATTTTGAGATAGGGTGTTTCTCAATAAAATTCTGAAATAGGGCGTTCTTGAAAAGTTTTTTGAGATAGAGCGTTTTCGAACTGGCAGCCGAGATAGGTCGATCTTCCACTCAGCCATCGATATAAGCATTATAAACATATATACAAATCGAGGGCTTATATTGAATACCCTCTATCTGCACTTTTCCCAAAAATGAGATTCTGATATAAAAATCGACCTAAAACTTAATTGATATTAATGCTGACCTTTTATTAACACTTGTCATAAGAGTTTACTATTGAATTGCAAATTTAGGATTAACATCGGTGATGAGAGGTAAGTCTAACATCACAAAGTAGTTTTTGTGAAAATTGCAGATAGCGTGTATTAAATATAAGCCCTCGAAATGTACACACATATATTCGACTATCTAAATTATTTAATTGCACTATCCATCCTTTGCCAATATTTCATAGACTGCTTACAGTTTTATTTGTCTTTTATTAGACACTTCACTTTAACCTATATCCTTCAATATATCCTTCAATATGTTATTTCATTGCATTTGTGCCTAATGCGGCTTTGGTTAATAGCGTTGAGGCGGCAGATATCGGCTGGATGTTGAATAAGCGTTTTTGTTACTTTGGTAGTCTCGGCTACCGGAAGTGGCACTGCCGTGTATGCGATAACCTCCACCAACATTTTGATCGTGCACTGGCGGCGATGTTGGTAAATGATCACCTTCGGCATGGAATCCATTCTCATCCGCCTTATAATTAACGGTATATGTACGACCATCGTCTCCTGTATAAGAATACGATCCTTGTACGTTCAGTGCGCTTTGTGGTCTCTTGTGAGTATCACCGGTTTCATCTCTTTGGATTCCGTTCGCCGTTTCAAATCTATTTGTATCATATAAATACATACATACATACATACACACATACTTGTATACCGCCAAATCATTGCGACATGTTACCCAAAATTATAGTTTCCGCTTGCATCGCTTATAAAATCTTGCCGGACAATGGGTATATGTGCTGCTGCAATATTATGGTGCTCAAATCGCGCCGAGCTCATCGCTCCGCTCACAGCTTTGTAATGCAAGTTCCTTCCGCTCTGTGGTGCCAAGTACTGATTCGAAGGAATTCGCGTGTTATCGTTTCCAAATTGTCTAACACTGCCTGGCGGTAAATATTTCAATGAAGGTTGGCGAAGACTAATAACACTCGCGTACGACATACAAAACAAAAGCAATCCGATTGGCTAAGAAACAAAAACAATTTTGATTTTTTAATTAGCAGCAATGCAAAATTTGGGACTCCGCTTACCCGCTTCATTATAAAAAACAAAAAAAAAAACGCCTCTAATTATATATCCTTTTTCAAATCTGAAGCAAATCAAATGCTTTTGAGGCGCTTTCTTACAAAGAAGTGCTTGGGAGCTACTGATGCCAATTGTTCTACTTGGTATTCTTTTATAGCAGAATTCTTTAGCTGCGCTACCAAAGTATTCTTCTTTCATGCGTTTTCGCATCATCATCACTACTATCGTTTTTCTTTCTTTTGTTTGATAGATTTATGTACGTAAATATGTATGAAATCAATGTGCACACATTTTGCAGTACAAAGTTTTGTATTGAACACGCTTCTGAGCTTATAAAAAAAAAAAACCACTAACTTATTCTTTAACAGACTTTTTCAATAAAAAATATATTCCAACAAATTTGGGTATGGCATAATAAGCTGGTTAGTTTTTCAACACTTTAGACAAAATTGTAATTAATCAACTTAAAACTTTCGAAGTGTTGCACAGTGTGTCGTGTAGTACAAGTTCGGTTGACAAAATCATTTATGCCTATTTTTAGAGAATACTTGGGATGCTGATTTCCGATATACCCACCATACGTTTTTTCAGATTAGCATTTTTGCGAATTATTGGGAATTATAAAAAAGTGTGGGTTGCTGAAATTCGGAAAGCTAACTAATTTTCCATCACGATTTATGCACTGCTATGGAGCTTTGAATTCGCTCAAATGGGAAGCACGAAAAAGGGAATTAAAAAAACAAACAAATAAGTAACGATAACAATGCAATATCAATGATAAACTAATCAGCTAGGAGGCGCAGCTGTCGAGACATTTGGAAACCCCGGATTTATGGTCCGATTTGGCTCATATTTAAAATGTATGTACTTGAATGGGAAGAAATAACTGCACAAAAATTTCGCCGTTAGTTGGTGCGTGACTCGATTTGACTTTTTTATTAGCGACTAATAAAAGCTTGCTTTAAAAACTTTTTTTTAATCACTTGTTTTTAGTGTAGTTGTTTTCAACAAAACCTTATAAACATTTTGACGAACGTTCGAAAATGACCTTCGATATCCAATATGCATATCGAACTTAGAACGAACTCATAACCAACCATAGTTTTCCAACGGTCATAGTATATTGGAAATACACACGAGAAGGGTTTGAAAAAAAAAATTTAAATCATAGTAACAAGAGAGGAATTGAAATCCAGCTCATTCTCGAGGGGAAATATAAGACAATCACTCTCTCTCGTTAAAATTTCAATTCGATAATGGGCTGGCTTTCGAACTCATAACGAAGGTAAAATACATTGGATAACGAAGGTTCCGTTTTGCTCGAGAATGGCCTAGTTCTCGAGTCGAATACTAACCTATTTCACATTCGTTATCGAAGGTGAGACTCGATAAAAAGATTGGTTTTTCAATCATTTTCGAATTGTTAACCAGCTCAATGTTTATTGGGAAATTTTCCCAGAAAGTAAGGGTGAGTGACAGCTAAGTACATAACATTATTGTCCAGTTTCAAAGGATTTTCCAAGGACTAGGATAAACAATTCAGGATTGCTCGTTACTCATCTCCTACGCGAGCAAGCGATTCCCTAGAACAGCTACTTTCGGTTCATCAAAGGTGTTCTTGAAGTCAAATGGCCTTATTGGACATAAATCGCTCACGATGCTTTGCCGATTTGTTCCACTTGGCTTGAACTTTGAAGCAAAAGTTGAAGTTGAATAACAAAACTTACGAAAATATTTTATCTGCTAATATGTATGTCAAATTCTCAGAATTCAGGAAAAATTTGTTTAAGCAATTTTGTCCATCTAAATTGTTGAAATACCGCACTGTGCGTTGCCGAGCTACTTAAAGGTATATAATCGATAATGGAACAAATTATACCATCATATTACTGTTAATAAAAACGAAAGCGGATTTCAGAATTTTAAAGAACAAAACGTATTTACTACCACAAAGCGCACGATTAAATCTTATTTCAAATTAGTAATCATTTCAAACTCAATATATAACATGTCGTTTTATTTCTATGTTGTACATTTGCAAGTACATATGTATTTACATATGTATATATTTTTTTGTATGACATCCAACCACATAACAAAACTACGAGTACAATACATTAGGGGTATTCAGGCGTTCATGCGAATGCATTGCACCGGTGCGAAATTCGAAATTGCGATATTTATCCACACAGCCGACAATCTCGCCTCAATCATTTCATTTCACTCTTTATCAACCAAAAGCATGTGCAATAGGGCGGGTTGATTTTTTTTTTAATCGTATAGCAAAAACGTAAACTACATAAAATTCTAAGAAAATTCTCCGAAGAAGCCATGTATCTAAAATAAAATCCTAATCCGCGCCTCTCGACTTGAAAATTTATATGGCCGCCTTTGCCAAAAAAATAAATGTTAGAAAAAATAGGTTTTTCCAAAAAGAAATCGAATTTTCTGACTAAAATTGTTTAGTAAGGTAGTTCTTTTGCACTTTATATTTTTTCTACACTCAAACTTTTTTTTCATTAAAACTGCTTTTTTGATAATTGAATATTTTGATTAGTCTCAAAACAAAACCTGTATTGCATAAACTATAATATAATATAATAAAACATAATATATTTCAAAAAAAGAAAATAATTTTAGCGAAAAAAGAGGAAAAAAATTTTCAAGTCGAGAGGCGCGGATTAGGGTTTGATTTTAGACCCATCGTTTTTTCAGAGAATTTTCTTAGAATTTAATGTAGATTACGTTTTTGCTATACGATTTTTAATTTTTTTTTCATCCATACAAATCAACCCGCCCTAATGTGCAATGCCTGATACGAGATTTTATTTATAAATTTATGCATTTTCACATTTTGCACCATTGCATTTGCATTTCGCATTAACGCCTGAATGCGCCTATTTTAAATTTAACCAAAGAAGAATCACTATGTACATATGTATGTATGTTTACTCGTGGTGGTAAAATTAATTTTTTCCCAAGTTGCTAATAACAGAATCAAACGTACATTCAGTTACGCTGTTACGCACATACACCTGCATCAATTAATTCACACCAGCATATACATACTTACATACATATGTATGTACATAAACACATTCATACATTAGAGGAAAACGAATTGTAACGGTACGATGCACAAATGCAGAGGTTAAAGCAATACATATTTATGTGTGTATGTACATATCGCACTTTAGCGGCAAGAGGCTCAAAATCCAGAAAATCAAAACCGCGAATAAAAACGGATTCAAAGTTCACAGACTAAATACGCTCCCATGGTAAAAATGAAGACACATTTTCTTCTAAGGAACTGTTCTTAATCGATACGGCTGTGAAATTTTTACAAAACACAGAAGAAGAAGTGACTGTCACTTCTGCATACTTAAATAAAATAAACATAAATTTGTATTATGACACTCTTGTAACAAAGGTACGGTATATGTACATACATATGTATGTATAATCT